ATCGTGTTAACTAAAGACAGTGGGTTTTCGTATCACATTCAGAACAGAGTTGTTACTGTTAACTAGAGCTATTAAAAATAGATTGTGCTAGCTGAGAAAAGTGGAAATAAAATAAATACAAGTAGAATACTTACAAACAATACAAATATTAGATGAAAAACGTAAAAAAACTTCAAAGGGAAATTAGAAATGTTGCTTTGGTTAAATTTGCTTAAATTTAAGCTGAAACTGAAATAATAATAAATTAAAGCTATATATAAATATTTAAAAAAAGGACAAAAGCACATAGTAAAATTACTAACATTTAAATTAACATGAAAATGAAAACTGAAAATATAAAAATAAATGCTAATTCAAAACTTTAATGAATACTACAGTCTATAAGTAATACTAAAATAACACCGCTTCAGGAGCATAATCAGATTAAGTGAATTATCTTAGAAATGATTATTTGTGTTTATTTCCGTATTACTGCATATAGTAGCCTGTCCAAAATTTGAAACGTAGCAATGAAATGGGCAACAAATGGAGAGATTTGATTGAGAATGAATGGAAGCAAATGCTTACGTTCAACTAACAAGAGAAATCTATCTTTTTTTATTAGTTAAAATTATCTAGAGCAGAAAAAGGTGTATCTTTTTGATCTCTTTTTTAAAAAATATATATGACTGTTTAAATAAAGGAAAAAAATCTATTCTTGAAATGTGGAATGAAGTGTTTGGACATGTCAGTCTCTAATTGTATCATGCATTATCCACCAGAACGTTGTAATATATAAATAGCTTATATCACGTGTACTTAAGTATACGAGTGTGCATGTTATAAATGTAAGGGTTTGGTTTGGGTGTTGTTGACTCTGTCTCTGTCTCTGATGTCAGTGTGTCCAGCTGGATGGAAGCCTGGCAGTGATACGGTAAGATTTCAGTGTGTGTGTGTGTGTGTGTGTGTGTGTGTTTCTGTGTATGATCACAGGTTACAGTATCTCTGTATTTCTCCTCTTTCCACACAGATTATCCCAGACCCTTCAGGCAAACTCAAGTACTTTGATAAACTCAACTGAGCGTAATGCTTCACTACATGTTTGTTCTGATGAATGTTTTTGAAACGCAGAATAAAAGAAGAGTTTTGATAAACATGTAGTCCTGTTTCGTCCCTGCAGTGTGTGTCTTATTGTTCGTGTGTCTGTAAAAGAAAATGCAATCGAAATTAATGAAATGTTAAAAGCAGTAGACATTTTTATTGAGATTGTCTAGAAAGCTGCACTGCAAAAATTACTTTCCTCCTCTGTATTTTTGACTTTTTTTCCCAGTACAAATATCTGAATACTTTAAAATCAAGATACGTTTACAAGCAAAATGACAAGTCTTGGTTTAAAAAAAATATATAAAAAAATATATTTTTTGCTTAAAACAAGGGGAAAAAAATGCCAATAGGGTATTAAAAATAATATTGTTTTCCCTTTAAATTAGGTTTATTTTTCTGACCATATGGCTGATTTTTTCTAGTTTTAAGCATAAACTAGCTTCATTGTGATGATGTTTTTTTGTTTTGTTTATTTAAACAAAGACATTATTTTTCTTCTCATGTTATTTTTATTTAAGAATGTTTAGATATTTGTACTGGAAAATTAGACAAAATTGTCAAGTAAAAAAATTGAAAACATTTTGAAAATTGAAAAAAAAAAAAAAACCATTAAAAAAACCTCAGACAATTTTATGTTTTTGGAGATATTAGTATCACAGTTATTATAGTAAACTAAAACCATAACAAACATTTGTTAGCTGAAATAAACATTAACTGAAATATAAGTTTTTTTTCTCAATATTTAACTTGTTAAATATATATTAATATTCATATTTAACTAAGTTCATGTACTTAAACTAAAACTGAAATAAAACTAATAAAAACTATAGAAATATTAAATAATGACAAAATTACAAACATTTGAAAATCAAAATAAAAAATTTCACTGATGTGTAAAAACTAAAGAAAAACAGCCAGAAACCTTGGTCTAACACTAGCTTGCTCTATTCTTTTTCTATTTTATCGTTTTTCTTTTTATTTATTATATAATTAACAAAAAACCCTTGCTATGTGTACTGCGTTAATCTAACTGAGACTTGTTATAGCACTTGCGTATCATTGCTCTTTTGTTGATTTTGATTGCTTCCATTGTCCTCATTTGGATAAAAGCGTCTGCTAAATTTAAAATGGTTTTAAATCTATTAACTCTACAGAATGCTATCTAAAACACAAATGGAAATCTGTCCCAACTATGTCTATAGTTTTAAATCATTAGCAATGGAAATGCATTGGTCGAAGTTGTGAGGATCCTGAATCTACAAACATGCATAAATGAACCGATTAGTCTGACACTAGATGGCGATGTAGAATCAGCTTTTATAGCACAACCCCAACAAAACAAAGATGTTTGAGTGAAAAATCAACAGTGTCATGCTTTGCAGCTGCTGTCACTTTGAAACTGAGACTAAATTACAATCGTGAAGTGACGGGACTGTTTTTAAGGAAAGGCCTGTATTACTGCAAACATGCACAGCTGCAATAACAGTGTCACGCTGCTAAAGACTAGATAAGGCTGTCTCCCAGAGAGAGGTTAAGGCCAAAGTGCAAACGTATGAACTGCTAGACAATAAAGCTATGCATGTGGGACTATGCAACTATTGATTGCAATTTCAGTGTTATTAAATCTTGAGCTCCAAATGATCTTTTTAGAAATGTACTCCAAGATATAATTATGTAATATCAGGGTTTCCACAGTCATAACATCTGTAAATGTCAAGAAAATTTGTGATTTTAGCCTATAGAGAAATAATTGAATTGAATCAAATTGTAAAGTCTTGAATGTTTCTGTAATGAATATACATTTTTTTTCTATTTTCATCGAGTAGGAATTGTATTTTTCTGCATAAAATCTTTTATAAGTTGCATATTTAAAATGCTAAAATCCTCACTCCAGTAAGCAGATACTTAATCAATCGATCATGAGGAACCTTGTAATACTTCAGGTCTTTTTACAATGTAGAAAAAAGACTACATTTCTCAAAGTGTTTAAATGGTATTTCAGATCCTTTTGCATTCTAGGACAAAGCCAGGTGAGAATAGATGTAAACAAACTGCTGAATTTGCAGAAGTGTGCCATTTTTTTGTCTTGTTTTTGCAGCACTGCTGAAAATGAATATAGATCGGTGGAAACGTTTGCTCCCCAGAGAGCAGATTTTACTGTAATAGTCTGTGTTTTTGTATATGCACTATGCAGCAAAGGTCAGTCACATGTTCGGGTCAAAGGTGTGGTGCTAAAACTGGAAAGTTTTCCATGAATATGCTGTCAGTGTCACGTGTCAAGAAAAATGGACAAATCAGCATTTAAAGTCACTCAGGGCAGGACATTCTGTTGTAATATTAGCTATATTAATACATTAATATGTCATCCAGTTGCATGTGCAAATAGTTTTCCATCATCCGCACCCGTTCAGTTGTTATTTTTAAGATGTTTTTGTGTGAAGCGTATAAGAAAAAAACATTTCCAGATTCCACAGCAAGGACTGTGATACCTGTGCAGTTGATGTCACTGATGAAAATTGCTGAGAAATATCCGGATGCTGTGCTTTATTTAGACTTTTGCGAAAAGTGTAGTTTTCATCAAACCAAGTGTAAGTCGAGTTGTGTTGACGATACACAAGAGCACGTCGTGGCAAAATACAACACAGGCAAACTCATGGCAAAACAGTCCACATAGTCAGCTTCCTCATGCATGAAGTTTATGTATAAAATCACAGGCAGGTTTCTCTCAATCATCAGAGTTGTATTCATATTCATGATGCATGATGACTTTTAAACCTTTGTTTCAGTATTTTTGAGAAAGTGACGCATCGACTTTATAGGTTTTGACTTTTATTACTGTTATTTATAATTTATTTATACTGTTAATTTATATTAGTATTATTTATTTTTTATTATTTGATTTATTCATTATATGTTTTTATATTTATATTAGTTTGAATTCATATTATTTATAATTTATCATTATTTTATTTCATTTATACTATTATTTATTTATAATATTTATATCGTTACTTTTATTGGCATTATTTATAGCATTTAATATTTGTTTTATTTTTTTATTATCTCTTTTATTGACTGATATTTGACTATTTTGTGATATATATTTTTTTAATTAGATTTGTTTGTTTAAAAAATACAAATATGCATTGACTTTCTAGGTTTTGGCCTCCTACTATTACTTTTACTACTTCAGAATTTATCTATACTATTATTATTATTATTATCATTATTATTATTTCATTATTCATTTTATATTTCTATATTTATATGATTACTTATATTGCTATTTATATTATTTATAAAAACATTTTTTATTATTCTTATGATATTAATTAAATAATGTTTGACTTTTTTGTAATTAAATAAACCACTTGTTGATTAGCAGAAGTTGCCGACAGCCTTGTCAGTTATTTATTGCTGAATTTCTTTTTCCAATTTTTGTGAATTTTGAGTAAATATGTCAAATTTATGTTTATTTTCATGCACATTTTTATTTTTCTGTCAATAAAGTGTATTATGTATATATCGGCATATCAGCCAACAAACAGCCAGTCTGCTTTCTAGATATGCATATAGGCCTCTATGCATTATAGAATAATATAATTGTCAAATATTCAATCAGTGTGTGCAGTTGTAATTGCATTGCCCACAATTTGTTAGATTGCATAAGCAAATTCAAAGGTCTGCTTTATTTGGTATATCAGGATCCTTATGTCTACAGGACATGACCTTTGCATGATCTGCCGTTTGAAAGTGAAGTACATAAACCGTGTCGATCCTTCCAGAACGATAAACATTAACCCATGCTGCTCTGAGTGAACAAACAAGCCACTGTTTTCAGGAAGGACCCGATGCACAGCAGGTTTTCTGGGAGTGGCCTGAAGGTTTCTGAGCATCAATAAAAGGAGGAACGGTGCAGCTTTGAGCCCAGAGGATGCTTCATCACACCAGCCACTGGATGCCTTTCCAAGCAGGAGAAAGCTGATCTCAGGCCTGTAGCTGAGGCTGAACCCCTGAGAAGCGGATGAAGAAACAAATCTTACTACGTTTCACATACAGAGGACTAGTCAGCAAAGGAAAAAAGAGCAAAAGAAGAAAATGGCCAGTTTTATATTACGGAAAGCCGAGCCCAAGGACGTGTCTGACATACTGCGACTCATAAAGGTATGAAATTCAGTTTGATTGATGCTATTTAAGGCATTTTAAAGCTGCGTAGCTACACCATAAAAATGATTTTTAGAAGTTATAAATAAAGATTATTGGAGTATTTCAGTTTTACTTTAATTAAATGTGTAACTTGCAGTTTCTTTGTAGTTTTAATTATATATATATATATATTTGCAATATTTATGTATGCATGTATTTATTGTTAGAATTATTTTTATTAGTTATTAATTTTATATTTATATTATTTAATTGTAAATTGTAATTTATTAAAATCTATTTATTTAATTTATACTATTATTTATTTATTTATTTATAGTATTTATATTATGACTTTTATTGCTATTATTATTTATATTATTTAATGAAGGTAAAGAGTTCAGGCAGTTTAAAGCTGTGTAGCTACACTGCAAACATTATTTTTCCAAAGTTGATTTAAGTAAATTAAGATTGTTTGATTATGTTTTAATGTTTGTCTTTCTACATCAAAATGTCATGTTTAATTCAGTGTTACTTGCTATTTCTCTATAATTGTGAAATTTACTATCAATTTCTGAGTGAATTTTTTATTTTATTTTTTGACCTTAAATGTTGTGATGATGAGTTGAGATCATGAGTTACAGTACCTAGTTAGTAATCCCAATTTGATCATTTTCAAACCTGAATATGCTTGTTTCATAGGAACTGGCAAAATTTGAAGAAATGGAAGATCAAGTTATTCTTACTGAGAAAGGTAAGCAAGCACATTTAGAATTTAGTAACTTGTGCTTCGCTCTTCTAATGGCTGGTTTTACTCCTGTATAGATCTGCTGGAGGATGGGTTTGGAGATCATCCGTTCTATCACTGTATCGTGGCTGACGTGCCCAAACAGCACCAGAGCGCCGACAGTAAGACTAAACCTATGCTGCAGCTCTGTGATTCAGTGCACAATATGTCGTGCTGTTCTGCTTTTGTTTCCGTATCAGGCTGAAGCGAGCGCATCAGGAGAGTGTAAATTCACACCCGCACTTGATTTACCGAGAGTCTTTGTGTGCATAAAGATGCAAAACTGTGTTTGGAAACACTTTGCACTGCAGCGTGCATGTTACACATTCTGTAAACATGAAGTGCATCTAGTTCATTACTACTAGTTCACCCAAAAATGAGATTTAAGGAATAGTTTTACAAATTCATACATTTTATAAGTTTAGGCATATATGTATGATTTTCTTATTTAGTGTTTTTTCTTGTTTTTATTTTTTCCCCCTTTAAATCAAGATACTTTTACTTGAGTAAACTAGTTTTCTGACGTTTTTGCAAATCAACAAGTGGATCATCTGATCACAAATAGTCAAATAACAGTCACTAAAAAATGATAAATAAAATAATACAATTATTAAATATAAGTAATAATAGCAATAAAAGTAATATAAATATTATAACTAAATAAAAATAGTATAAATAAAATAAAATGATGATAGTATACTAAATTATAAATAACATAATTCATATAAAATAATGTAAATATAAAAGTATAACATGAATACATAATTTAAAAAAAATTATATAAATATAAAATAATAGTATATTTAATATAAGTAAATAGTAATAAAAAGACTGTCAAAACCTAGAAAGTCAATGCATATTTGTATTTGTATTTTTATTTTTTTTTAATTTTCCAAGAAAAAAAAAGTAAAATATCAGTCAATAAAAGTAATAAAAATGATAAATACAAAATATCTGCCAATGGGCTCAGAAAAATTCAGTCCTGCCTAATTTAAACCTAATTTAGAGGAACAACTAGTTTATTTTACTGACCTCATTAGCAGACATTTCTTTTTTATTTTAAAAGTAAAGTCACTTAATTTTGAGACTTTCTTTTTTTTATTTCAGAACACAAAACTAGTCATTTTGCTTCTCAAGTGAATGCATCTTGATTTAAGACTGTTGTAAAATCATTTTATTGAATTAGAAAATAATTTTTTGTAGTGCAACAACTTAAATTTGGGTCTATTCCTACTGTACAAATTCAAAAAAGTTGGATTGTATTGCATATATAGTTCATATATCTCCTTTTTGGAGCTTGAGAGAAGTGGTCACTATTTGGGAATTCAAATTTTGGGAAATATGACGTTAGAGTGAGTAAATAATGCCAGGTATTCATGTTTGGGTGAACTTATTTATTGAAGTAACGCTGTAACATGAACACTGGAATCTGAAGTGTCTTTTTTTTGTGAATCTCAACACAGAGAATTTGAGTTGTTTGACATTTGCCAAGAACGCTCATCCAGTCCCCCTCTGTAATTTATTGTCTTCAGGCTACAGTCTCTTGCTTCGCCATGTACATTGCCCGTGGCGTGTACATGGATGGGCGGGGAGGTAACTGAAAGATCGCTTACAATAGCGTAACATATACAATAAACCAGAGGTAAGGCCACAACAGCTGGGACGTCCCAGCCTTACACCACACTACCATACGCCCCAAACTAACAGCTGTCTGCCAGACGCACCATATGGATGTGTCTCCATACTCACAGCTAGGGATGGGAATCGCAGGCAACGAACGATTCCATGAATCAATCTGTTAGAATTTTGAGGGCAAACAAATGGACAATGTTTGGAAAACAATTCTAATTGCCATGACAACGGCAACGTTTCTTTTATAGCCACATTCCGTCCAAGTCTTTCTAGTTTGTTTTGATTTCCAGCCCTACTCTGCTGCACTGCAAAAATGATTTTCTTACTTAGTATTTTTATCTTGTTTTCCAGTACAAATGTCTAAACATTCTTAAATCAAGATATGTTTACGTGAGAAGCAAAATGACATAAGATATTAAGAAAAATGCATCAAAAATGACATAAGATATTAAGAAAAATGCATCAAAACTAAAAAAAAGTGAGATTTTGCATAAAACGGGAGGGGGTCTGCTAGTGGAGTCAGAAAAATAAAATAATTTTATATATAATTATATATTGTAATAATTTTTATGTAATATACTTATATATATATGAAATAAATGAAAAATATATTATATTATATTATTCTATATTATATTATGTTTCTCAAGTAATTGTATCTTGTTCGGATATTTGTACTGGAAAACAAGACAAGATTGCTAAGATAATATTTTTGCAGCCTAGTATAAACGTTCAAATCAACATAATAAAAGTGAAAAGAAAAAGTGAAATGATGGTTTAATTGAAAATGTGACTGTGGTGTATGCGAGGGTTGTGAGGCCAATAATCCCACCTGAAATTAATTTCAGCAAACCAAAGCAAATTGCAAAAACAACAGCGATTTTGTAGTTGCTAACTAATGCCTTTGTCTTGCTGGAAACAATAGAGTGATTGAAGTGTGTTTCCAGGTCATGTGATCATTGGCTTTGCCATGTATTATTTCACCTATGACCCCTGGATTGGGAAACTGCTCTACTTGGAGGACTTCTACGTCATGAAGGAGTTTCGGGGTATGAATGTGACCTTATATATTTGTGTTATCAAATTGTCAGAGACACCGTCATGTAACACACTTTTCTCTCTATTAAAATTAGGTTTTGGAATTGGGTCTGAAATCCTGAAGAAACTGAGTCAGGTACGTTTAAATTTCCTTTATGCAGCACCAAAAAGATCAATAACATCTGCTTCTATGGCCCATGAGGAAACTGTTCAAGTATGTTGTTCAGATCACATAGTTACCCTTGTGAAAAAGAAGTGTGCTTAATTGTATTGAATGTGCACTTGCAGTGTACTTCAAATCTTATAAGCATATTTAAAAAAAAAACCACTTGAAGATAATATATTATTAATGAAACAAAAACCTACTTAAGCCCACTTTCATGTTTCTTAACACACTTAAGTACACTTTTAAAAGTGCACTTTGTAATAATGTCAAATTAAAGGTTTTACTTTAAAGTACACTTTAAATTGTTTTAAAATTTAAATAATTTTTAAAAAAGAAGTACATTAATTTGTTTTGATGTGTTCACTAACATGTAAAGTACTTGATTATAATTTTAACTGCAGTGTATTATTCAATATTAAATTTAAAGTTAATATATTTTAATTAAATACATTTCTGTGAGAAATATATTTAAAACATATCATACATGTCACAAGTATATTTTATTTAACCATAAATGTAAAGATGTACTTAAGTCCTACTTAAGTGGGTTAAAAAAACTCTTAAGTTTGCATTTAATAAAATATAAATTTAACTGAAATACATTTGAATTGAATTGCAAGTAACGTGTTTGCACTTAAATGTGTATTTTTATTTTTTTTAAGTATATACACTGTAAAAAAATATTTTTGTCTGAGTGAAAATTGTTTCTACACCAATGTTTTTTTTTCCTGTGTATTTTTTAAAGTATGCTAAGTATGCTGTGTATTTTTTATTTTATTTATTTTTTGCTGTGTTTTTCTTTTTCACCAGGGTACCAAAGCTCAATGTTTACCATACTAGTTAATAATTAGTCCCAGGTTAATGATCCAGCATTATATAGCACCTCTAATCTTCTCCTGGCAGTATATCTTGTACTCAAATCAGTTTTCTCCAATCATTGACTGGTTTTCTGCAGATGGCGGTCAGGACTCGGTGCAGCAGCATGCACTTCATCGTGGCGGAGTGGAACAAACCCTCCATCGACTTCTACAAGCGGCGCGGAGCGTCTGATCTCTCGCTGGAGGAAGGATGGAGGCTCTTCAAGATCGACAAGCAGAACCTGCTCAAGATGACCAATGAGGAGTGAAGCAGATGTCAGGAGGAAACCCACTGCAGAATATCATCTAGTGTTGTCTTCAAACTATGATTGATCCTCTGGTGCTGGTATCCGCTGAAGTGGACAGATCGTCAAAAATCATTTTGAAGCCTTCAGGGTGTTACATCCAAAACCTTTAATTCTTACCCATAATTCTCTGTGAATGTCCCCTTTATATGTCATTGTGTTTTTATGACAAGTTTAAAATGTGTAATTCTCTTAAAATAAGTTATTTTGAAAGATTCTTGTTTTTAAAAGGATACATTAAGATATCTTCTTTTCCTTTGTGATTTAATAATTCATGCATCAGAGACTTTCTGCTTATCATGCAATGCACTGATGTTTATATAGACGTGGCATATTTACTCCTCTGTATACTTCAAGCTTAAATTCTACTGAAAAATTAAAATAAAACATTTAAATTAGAACAAATTTTTTTACTGTTTACCTCATCTTTTTCGTTTTTGATATGAGATCAAATTTCTCCCAATGTAATACTTAGCAACAATTCTACTAAGGCCAGTGTTGGGGGTAACACATTACAAGTAGTGCAAGTTACGTAATCTAGTTAATAGTAAAGTAATGCATTACTTTTTAATTTAAGTAATTTTTTCAAATAAGTAATGTCAGTTACTTTGTTGTCCCATTTATTAACTGACAGCTCTACTGTCCCCATGTTGAGGCGCTGTGTGTGCTGCTGTGTGAACATGATGTTACTGTAATTTAGATTAAATATGAACATGCATTTACCCATCTCACCTGCACAAACACAGATTCAGTGTTCTTCAAAATGAATAAAAACTGTGAAATGCAAACTCAGAATATAACGCAAACCTGCAAAAATTAAATGTTAATAACACAAATATCCTTCACATATATTCCCATTTTTGCTGCTGACCTTTGATGATCCAGTTCAAGCATACTAATAGACAAAAATGGCTTTAGATAAACAAAACATTTGTGTTTGTTGTCTTTCTTTCTTTTTAATTATGGAAGAATGTTGAACTTTCTTCTCCTGCATCCAATTCTTCACGCAGTCCAGAATGGCAGCACAGCTGAAAGGTTTGTCTGAGCTGCAGCCTCTGCTTTACAGAAATTCATTTACATTTCCTTCAGCCTGAGGCATATTCAATCAATTCTCTTTAGGTGTGAAAGGGCTTTTACATTAGCCAAAAATACAATTTTTATATTAAAAACAAACCAGCAAGATCAGTCCAGATGAGAAATAGCGCAAAAGTAACGAAATGCATTACTTTCCATAAAAAATAACTACGAATTTATTCACATTCTGAATGGATTATAGCCTAGAAAGCGCGCAAAGAGTGCTCCCCTTATAATCACTAAAAAGCTGTCACTCATCTTAGCTCATTGCAATCTCACGAAGCTCCGTTATAATCAGTGAAGCTCTAAACGGCACAATTAATCTCTTATTTACATCGTGTCTACCTTTGTTTTGTTATAGCTAATGAGAGGATTTGCGAGCAAACAGAACTCAGCGTTGACCTTTTGTGAGGTGAGTGGATTCTAGCGTAAACACCTCTGATTGGCCATTGTGTTCAAGAAATCAACAGATAAGTCTGTGATTGGCTACATTTCTCAATGCTGCAAAAGCGTTGTAAATAGAAACCTATGACCAGTGGATGAAAAACCCCGCCCCTTAGGTTAAATGTTTGTGACATAGGACACTGGGGCTGTTTCAAAAAGCATTTTTTGAGGTCAACTTCTTTGGTAAACTGCAGTTTTAAGCAGTAAATGCTCAGCAATGGTGTTGACTGATACATTTGTACATAGTTTTAGGCATATTAAAAACACCAGACATGTTTGTTTTATTTACAACTTTACAGTATATTTTTTTCCCCCTGTCTGTTTTATTAGAGGTGTTTGCTCATATTTAGGATTTGAACAAATGTCTAACAGTAAGTATTAAAGTTATCCTGAAAGCATTGCTCAGTCCAGCTGTTTACAGTGTGTGAAGTGGGAGTGTGAGAGATTCCTGAGACATTCCCGGGAACAGAGCCAAACTGAATGAGAGGTGCATGCTTATTTGTAAAAGCCTGTCCATTATTGCATATTGCATATAAACACTTTAATTCAACTCATGATGTTTTTTTCTTAGTCAGTCATCATCAGTGATGCAGGTTTTCTTTCTTAAATGTCACAGTTGTGCGTTTGTCTGGACTAAAGGAAACACAAAGCTGTGAAAATAACAATGCCTTCCTGCCCGGTGACCACTAAGACATCCGCACGCCTCAAGATGTTTATTACAACTTTTTCAATAGCTCAATACCTTATTTTCCAGATATAAGAAAAATGCATAAGTGCTTATGTTGGGTGAGGGTGCTGGAAATGACTCAATATCCATGTGGTCAGAGGAAACCACCTATAAGTCTCTCAGACAAGAATTCCGACTGAAAGCGGATGTGAATGAGTCAGTGCCGATTATATCCCATTCACGAATACAGTCCGGCTCATGGGCTGAAACTGGAACCGGATAAACACTAGAGATGCTTGTGCACATGCTGCTGTACATGTTCAGAGGTAGTAGTTTGTAGTTTCTTAACCCTGTGAAGCCTCAAATAATAGTCAGAATTTTTTTCTGTCTAAAAGTTTGCATATGTTTTACGTATCATATTTGATACATCAGTCTGTTATAGTATGATATAGTAAAAACACCTCTTTTTTTTCAGAGGCCCAAACTAAGCAAAAATAAGAAATTTGGTGCAAATGTTGATATTTATATAATGAAATTCTGATGCTTGTAATGTAAATCAGTGTAAATCAAAATATAGCAGATACTTACATAAAATCACTCTATAACTCTAATATGTCTTAGTAAGATGATATTTAAATGCTTCGTTTTGATGATCCAAACATATAATGCAATGCAATCCAATAATGATTAAGATATGAACAAATAAATGTTCCTCAAAAGCCTGATGATCATACTGTAAGTGATACTCACACTTGAACATGATTTTTCTATTATCTACTCATAATCAAGTAAATCTAAATTGCTGCAGTCCAGTAAATGTTCATTTTGATATATTACTAATAATATCAAGGGCTTAGAAATTTGTGCATCCAATATCATACAGTAACCTCTTTGGGGTTAAATCATATATCAACAAAGCATTTGTAGCATCATATTGTATTACTAGCGTTGTGCTTTAAGTTTGCACTGCATACACATTGCATTGCATAAAATATGCATTTTGCATTGCAAAGACAAAACTAACTTTACTCTTGGAGTAAACATCGTGCACATCCACTATTTGACACTTTAAACAATAGTGCGTAGGCAATTTCACATCTATCCTCTATGGTGCATAAAATGCTATTCAATTTCTTAGACTGATCATAGCTTTTTAAGGCAAGGTGAATAATATTCTTAAGTTATTTAAGGTTACTCTGCCTTTGAAATGTCTGTAATTGCACACACAGCAATGATGCATCAATATCTAATAGTGGCATCAATCTCCATTATGCCGTGTTTATCAGTAGTTGCTCATCCAATAATCTGTTTCACATTTCTAAGGAGACATATACTGACAAAAATATCATCAGCACCATTCGGTAACAATAACAGCATCTCTAAATCTAAAAACAAAGCCTCATTGTCACCTTTGTTTAAATACAAATGATAAATATGGGAATATTATTTTAATATATCCTGTTTTCCCCCAACAGTGCATTCGCCTTTGAAGTCTACAATATTTACGTTATATAACAATTTCCTCCTGCTCTATTCTTGTGAATGAACAAACAGTGTTTGATCTCACACATTTGTAAAGTTTCCATGGCTGTTTCTGCAGACGACATAAACACATGCAAGTTTGCACACTAAATATGTGAGTAAATGAAAGCAGAATTTTTATGTTTGAGTGAACTATTCATTTAAAATCTAGCTTAGCCGGCAATTATGAAATCACATGCAACTAAAAAATTAAGTTGGAGGTAAAAATCTGTGATGTCAGTTTTCTAGATTACACTGCAGAGCTAACCATCTGTCATCAACCTTAATGAGCAAAGCATGAAAACATCATAACTAACAGAACGCAGGCCTACAATCACACAGAAGATTGCATTCGCAAGTACAAGCTAGCACTTTTGTTTGGCAACAGGCTTTTGTGCAAACTGTGAAATATGTTGTTCCTGTCTTGGCTTGATATTATGACACCTAAGGGCGAGCTGTAACCCACAGGAGACTTTATTTCTCTTTGTGCTGCTGTCAAATGACATTCTTGTTTTTGTCTGAAAACAACTTCCAGTGTTCAAGGTCCCTATAAAAAAGTATTATAATGATAGTAGTTGTGTCCCAAATTACGCACTATGGACTTATTCTATGTACTCAACTGTCTAGTGTATGAATAAGGTTATGTTATCATCATTGACATCAGTGTCAACATGTTGTCAACATCGGAGTCTGATTGCTTTTTCCAGTTATTTAAGTGCATCATCTGGAAGTGTGTGAAACACTAATACACTATTTATACTAAAAAAAACAGGATAGAATAGTGCATAAGTATGCAAATTGGGGCACACCTAGTATGTGACAATGCTACTGTACTTTGATATAGTCCAAAAGTCTAAAACCACACTGAAAATCTGAGATTAAATGCCAAATGGGGAAGTCGTGGCCTAATGGTTAGAGAGTCGGACTCGCAACCCAAAGGTTGTGGGTTCAAGTCTCGTACCGGCAGGGATTGGAGGTGGGGAGAGTGAATGTACAGCGCTCTCTCCCACCTTCAATACCACGACTGAGGTGCCCTTGAGCAAGGCACCGAACCCCCAACTGCTCCCCGGGCGCCGCAGCATAAATGGCTGCCCACTGCTCCGGGTGTGTGTTCACGGTGTGTGTGTGTGTGTTCACTGCTGTGTGTGTGCACTAAGGATGGGATAAATGCAGAGCACTAATTCCTAGTATGGGTCACCATACTTGGCCACATGTCACGTCACTTTCAAATTAAACCAGTTTTGAAATATTTAAAACAACAGGTTCAAAAAAAAATACTTAGTGTGCTAGACAATATGGCCATCAGATTTTCATGTCAGTTTGTCCATTTAACTTTTAACTCTAATTGTTCTGCATTCAAATTATATTATAATTAAAATGTATACTTAACTTAAAATTCAACTATCGATTAAAAATACTATAATAAATACTGTAACTGATTGTTAATAAATTGTATTATAAATATAATTAGTTATTATTAATTAATTATCTATTAAATTAATAATTATTTATTTGACGTATTTAGTTTTTATGTATTTACAATTGATTGATTTATTAATACAATCAATTATAATAATTTTGTTAGCAGCTGCATTTAATTTTTCACTCATTGTTGTGCTAACAGTGAACTTAATTTGTTTTACTATTTTAACTTAATCAATTATGATATTTTGTTAGC